GGCCCCGGCACCGTGGCGAAGAGCGCAGATGGAGCGCAGGACCTTTTTTTTTTTTTTTTATATAATTTTTTTTTTACATTGCAACATCAAGTATGACTTCACAAGCAATGCGCGTCGCGAGAATATCGAGGACCTTGACTGAATGAGAAGGGAAACTTGCGTCGCACAGCTTCAATGTAGACAGTCGAGCCGGTGCAAAGCTCCGGATCTATGACCTCTAAACTGTAACGGAGTCACTCTGCCGCGGATCAGTAATGTATAAATACACGATCTTTCCTCCAATTCAAAGAAGAAAGAACCAGCACCCATCACACTCTTGCAACTTGCAACCCAATTCTAAACGATCAACCTTTTTACCCCAACCCAAGGTACGGGCACAATTCGGCAAGGGCTTGAACACATACTAATTGCACACGCCAGAAATTTAATCAGAGAAAAAAAAAAGAAAAAAAATCCATCATGTCTGACACTAAACTCAAAGTCTGGCTCGATAGCAAGGACAACACCGTTGAAGGCCACATCTTCACCTGCACCTTGCTGTTCAAGGGCAAGAAGGTCTGGGGCCCAGTGTCGGCCCACGACAACACCATTGAGCTGCAGAAAGCGCTCCACAAGGCCGACAGCCGCTTCGAAGTCGAACTGAAGAAGAAGGATCGGACTCTGGAAGGCCACACGCGCTACATTAGCGTCAAGGCCGGCGGCAAGGTGTACCTGGACAAGCTGTCGACTCACGAGAACATGCAAGGTCTGGCCGATGTCGTCGATGCCATCATCGCTCTTGATGACTAGATTGGCATACTGCAATGATTCAAGGAAGGAATTTGTGTCTGTGATAGACAGTTATATCGGGGCCCCTGATCAATTCATTCATTTATAAATAACCTCGAGTCTGTACTTGTGTTCGTAGGCCACAACCTCTCAATGAGGCGTAATCACCGGAGAAACCGACACGGCCGTCTCAAAGAGTCGGATGCATCCTTCTTGATGGGGTTTGTTCAGTGGAATAGGCATCTCCGTCGAGTGCGCGGACGAGATGGAGATGTGCATGAAAGTTACCAGACTCGGGGTGCAAACGCATTAGACTTGACAAGTCATGTATACAATACATCCTGGGGCGATAACTGCTGGAATTAAACATTAGAAAAGGATAAATGATGCCCTTGTTTACAAGGAACCGCTCGCTAGGTACAAGGTGCAGAGAAAAGAAAACATGGCAGTAGAAAAAAATAATATACAGCGGTAATGATGCTTTGAGCAGCCTCTCGCAGAATAGAATACTCTCCGCGTAGCCCTTACTGCCAGCAGCGCTAGGCTCACCATGGCCCCTTTCCGTATAGGTCCGTCATAACAGACCACGGAATGGCGTCCCAGGCATCCAGACAGACCCAGAAGCCGGACAGCCGGCGCCGGCCCGCCGTGCCGCTCTCCACCCCGTGCGCGTCCTCGGTCGGCAGCGACCGCCAGACGGTATACGGGCACTGCTCAAAGTCGGCATAGTTTTTAAAGTCAATTTCGAGCCCCTTGTCGATCTGCAGCCAGGGAAAGTAGACGCTGCTGTCAAAGGCCACCTCGCAGAGGCGCAGCGCGGGCCAGCGGCGCACCAGGCCCTCAAACCGCACCAACAAAGCCTCGACGTTGGCGTGCAGCACGGGCGATGGCGCGCAGTACGCGGACAGCTGCGTCTCGGGCCAGACCTCGCCAGCCAACACCAGGTGCAGGCGGCGGAGCCCGGGAAAGGTGTCGGGTAGCCGGGCGAGCAAGGCGGGCAGGTGCTCGACGGCGTCGCGCGGGCGCGGGTAGGCGATGCGGTCCGAGGCGACGCGGGTGCGGCCCATGGTGAGAGAGAGGGAGAGCTGCGTGATGGCCGGGATGTAGGCGGGGGGCAGGATGCGGGGGGTGTTTTCGAGGGCAAAGGACTCGTTGAGACGAAAGTTGTTGAGGCGATAGAGCACCGCGACGCCCTCGGCGTGCGCCTGGCGGCAGGCGAGCAGCCACCCCATGGCGCCAATGCAGCACGACGCGAGGCCGTGTTCGGGGAACGTACAACGATCGCCGCTGATGAAGCAGCGGTCGCGGTCGACGACGAAGAGCGGCGCGGGCAGCGCGGGGTGGCGGGACCGGCGGCGGCGCGCGCCGTCAAAGCACGAGCGGTGGCAGAGGTGGGCGGTGGGCTTCCATCGGATGTCATCGCTGGACAGGGGGATGAGGTCGCGGCGCTGTATGGCGGTAGTGGAAGCGCCGTCCGGCGGCCCGCTGAGCCGTGACGGGGTCGGTGGTGTCGCGGCGACAAGGTCGAGGTCGACGTGGATGGTGCGGTGGCCAAAGGCCGCCGCGAGTATGAGGGTCCTGATCTCGGCGGGCAGCAGCAAGAGTGAGCTCGTCTGAACGATGGACTTGCTGTGAGGGCGCGGCTGCGGCGAGGGCGGTGGTGATGCGTAGCAGCTGCTGCTGCTGGCGGCGACGGGACTACTCGCTACGAGATTGGGCAAGAAGACGGGCGGGTTCGGATCCATGGTTGCAAGGCAAAGGCAAGGGAACACCAGATGGAGAATCAATCAGGTCGATGAGCTGGCGATGAATAGAGATACACGAGTGATGGCATGGGCACGAGTAGCAAGGCCGGGCTGGCGAGGCTTGGTTGGAGATGGAGAAGTGAGAAGTGTAATAAACTGGGCAGAGCCGGATTTGGGGAGCTTTCCCCCCATCAATCGCGGCCAGTCAATAGGCGCATTGACCTCTCGACAAACGGGCGACCCTGGCCAATGGGAAAAAGCCGTAAAAGGCCGTCAAAAGTCGTGGAAAGTTGTCAAGAGGTTCTAAAAACAGTACTAACATAGCTCGAAGCCATCTTGAACGTCATCGGATCGGGTCGCACTGCTTTTGTCTGATCGGTGCCGTTGATGCATGTAAGACAAACTGGTGCTCAAAGTGCTGACAGCGGAGCACGCGGTATGGCAGCCTAGCACACCTAGGTACCTACCTATAGGTGAGTTGCGGCTAAATCTTAGTTCACCCCTCACTAACTTTGTTTCACTGCCCATCACACTAATCTATCTAATCATGGCAAACCTCTCGGCAATTCCTATAGTGTTTACACATTCCCAAGAAGAATACACTGCCAGTACCCTCGCTTCTTTTTCTTGCAAATCTACATTATGCTACGCAGACCGGCAATCGCCAGGATTGATGGGGGCTGACCATCTACCGCACCGTATTCACACCCGAGTCCATTGAAACCTTCCCCGCGAGCCATCAAGCGCATCGACGACCATCTCCGTTTCAGGCTAGACACATTAATGGGCTCAGGCTAGGCTCAGCCCAGCCACCGTCCAGTATCAACCTAGAGATGAGCTCCTGGCCCGGCTTCAAATCACCGTCATCGAAGACAAAGCGCTGGACGGCTCGTCCATGGAGGCTGTCGAGCGGGCGTTCCACGATTGTGTGTAGAAATTGGGCGACCTCGAATTTGATAATCCGCGCTATTGCTTCGCCCTCATCCTGTCGAAGAGACATTGCGACTACCGGACGCGTGGGCGACAACCGGCCTCGAAAGTCAAAATTCGAGCTGTAAGGGGCTTATGCGCTGGTACTTGGGCGAGAGGATGAGCTGTTACGCGAGACGCGTCCTAGATCTCCTAAAACAGGGCCTATTCCTACTAAGCACCTTGCAACGATAGAAAAGGCAGCAATTGATTATAATCGTAGAATAAAATCGTGGAATGTAATCGTAAAATATGATTGTAGGATATAATCGTAGAATATAAATGTATATATATAATAGGAATATATATGACCGGAATATAACAAAAATGTAATAGTAGGTGTTTGCTCTGGATCCTGTGATTCTCCTATTCGCGCACCAGTGACGACCACTCTCCCCCCCTCACCACCCGATCAACCTCATCCAGCACCATCGGATACACATCCCTGTAGGCATCGCGTCCCATCCAGCAGTCCAGATGCCCGTACCCCTCAATCACCCTCCTGCGATATTGCAGTCCTGAACTTCCCCCGCCCGCCGCGAGCCCAAACGTAGTGCAGAGCCGCCCATACGTCCTCTCCGTCGCCTCCGGCGAGAGCACCTGGCTATCCGCGCCCGAGAAGAAAAAAATCGGTATCCCGCGCAGCCGCTGGACATTGGCGTCCGTGTCGAGCGGCGCAAACGCCGGCCCGTTGGTGCTCACGCGCCCGCGGCGACCCATGCGCATGAGCAGGTGCATGAGCGCCATGTTGGCGCCGCTAAAGAATTCGTCTACATGGCGATGCGTCTCCTCGTTGAGGTTGGCGTGGTTCCAGCAGCGCCCAAACAAAATGGTCGCGCGGTGGCAGCTCGCGCTGGCGCAGCGCTCCTCCTCGGCCGCAACGAACCGCAGCAGCTGGTCGATGAGGGCCTGGCGCGCGCCCGCGTCCGGGGACGCGGCGCAGCGGAACCACGGACCGACGGCGGCGGCGTGAAGCTTGTCGAGGGGCGCGGGAAAGGCGGCCTTGCGCATGTTGCTGCGGGCCCAGATGGGGTTCATGAAGACCTGGCTGCAGGTGATGCCGCGGATCCAGTCGGCGGGGACGGTGCCGTCGAGCAGGCCGCACGCGAAGGCGACGGAGCCCATGCAGTGCGCGATTGTGTACAGCTTGGCGCCGCTTTGTTGAAGCTGACGCACCTTTTCCAGGCCGGCGCGGATGTCGAGCCGCGCGTCGTACGTGGTCCACGGGCTGCTGCTCGGGCTGCTGCTCTGGCTGGCCGAGTCGAGCCGGCCGATGCGGTGCACGAGCACAAAGACGCGGTAGCCGGCGCGCGTAAAGTAGTTGACCGCGTTGGTGGCAATGGTGGGCAGCGCAAAGATTTGGTGGTCCACGCCGGCGCCGGGGATCATGACCAGGTTCTCCGTCGGCACCGGCGCGCCAGAGACGTCGTCCTGCGCCACGTGCGCGGGGTCCGGCTCCCACATGAGCAGCTTCGTCTCCACGCCGTCCCGCGCCACGATTCGGTACGTTGCCGTCGGCTCTGTCGGGTTCGCGAAGCCGCCGAGGGGCTTCGTTGCCACGTACTGCAGCGGCCCCAGCGGCAAAAACAAGTGCGGCGCCATTTCGTGTACAAGGTGCGACGACAGGTCCATGCTCCGCCTGCACCGCTCCGCTCGGTCTTGTCCGGCCGCGGTCAGTGTGCGCAGTTGCTTGAGGAACGAGCCGAGCGTCACTTTGAGGATCCCAGCGGCGACTGTTTCGCCGCCACTCTTGTCGTCGACTACGGTGACGTGCAGCTTGGTCATGGCCCGCCACAACTGCCTGGGGCTGAGTGAGACGGAGGCATCGAGTAGCTTGAACCCGTGCAGGTGCAGTGGCCGTCCGTTTGTGCCCGTCATGAGACAGTCGTAGACGAGCTTTTTCGTCCCGCACCTGTCCGGGTCCGGCTGGAAGAGGTCGACGGTGCCGCCGTGGAGCATGAACGGCGAGCCCGGGATGGCAGGACACACTAGCGTACCAGAAATGGTCCCTTTGTAGCAAGTCTTGTTGCATCTTGCCGTCGTCTTGTCGAGCTGGATGCTCGCCAACAGCCGCGCTACATGGCCACGACCGTTGCCCATTCGACATGCGCGCTCGTATGCCGCGGTATTGCACAACCTGATGCCCGTGCCGCTGTAAAGATTTCCTTGCAAAAGCTCTGTAAAGGAGATGGGATTGACAAGTCGTTCCATGTTCTGGGCCAAGGGCTGCGTTGGTTCTTGGTCAGGTTGGAGGGCAGAAGCTGGCGTATCGAGATTGATGGTGTCGTTGGACTTTGTAGAAATGTCGAGAGATTGTCTCTCGGCAAACGCGGCAACGGACCTCTCCGCCAATGCAGCAATCGTGGCGATGGGATTCACCCCCAACGCGCCAGGAATCGCGGCACCGTCTACCACAATCAGACCAGCGTGCGTTTCCGACTGCTGGCCAGCAAAGACTTGACCAACGTGGTTTGTCACGCCACTCTTGCCGCTGTTGTCCCTCGACATGCTCGCGCCGCTACAACGCAGGGGTGAGTGAGTACTTGTTATCGTTTGCTGACACGAAGCCGAATTTGACCTACCCAAGAGGATGGACCGTGATTTGGTGGTTGCCCCAGAGACGGAGCAATGGATTGTAAATCAGTGTGCCTCCGTCTTTCTCAATCACTTTCTTGAGCGGCGTCAGTATTCGTTGCACACGTTCTTCATTGTGGCCGGCTCCGAGGAACTCAAACACGGGCTTATCGTCCTCGAGCCGAACGGTTGCCTGGCTGCCTTGTCCATGGTGAGCAGTCTATCTCTTATTGGAATGGCTCATCACTCACTATCATGAGACATGACTAACAACACTTGGGTATCTCGGCTATTGCTTCTGTGAGAGAATGCATGCCGCAATATCTGCTTGCATCTCGAAAGCAGCCGTTTCATCTTTGGACGAGTGGGACCTTTTGACAAGGACGAACACGCCGCATACGCACCAACTACGGTGTTGACAAACGTTGACAAGACTGTCGGGACCCCTCCGTCCTGGATGACGTAGCCGTCGAGCGGATTACCAGTCTTATCACGCATGTCAATGATGGAGGTGATGGTAGGACCTTGCCGGTCTGTAAATGTCTGCTTCCGGTCCCTACAATCATGCACTCCACGGCTGGTATTGTATCTAGAACTCTCGTCAGTCAAGTGCAGATTCCTGCCGTCGGGACAAACGCACCCAAACGCCAGCATGTCGCCATTGCCGCTCATGCCCTGTCCGACCAAGTCACTCATTGCGAGGCCCATGGCCTTGCTCCTGAGCAAAATCTCGGTCGTGCCGAGCGACCCCGCACCGAGAAACACGGCCTTTTTCGCATGCACCCACGACAGCTCGGCGTATCGATCCCTGGCAAACGCGGCCCGCGCGCTGTCGTGTGCGGCAAAGTAGACGAGGTAGCCGCCGAGCTCCGCGGACGCCTTTTCGACGTACCGCACCTCGCACGCGCAAAACATGTCGGCGCCCCAGTGCCAGGCGTCGGCGAGGTAGGTGACGAGTGTCGTCGTCTTGGACCCGTCGTTGACGCCCGTCGCGTCCTGGCCGGTGAGCGTGGACGGCGCCATGGGCAGCCCGGCGCTGCTGATGCCGTGGCGGAACCGCGTCGTCTGCGGCACGCGGTAGAAGCGGTCCCCCACGCCAAAGGCCTGCGCCTGCTTTTGAAGACGCACCGTCTTTTCGAGGACCGGCCAGTTTTGAGGATACGGCTCGGGTTCCAGCACCTCTCTGACCTGTTGGTAGTCTGAAATGTTTCCGCGTTAGTATGAACGATCAAGCAAAAGCAAAGGGCACAAGAAGAAAAAGAAGAAGAAAACAGAGCGCAGGAGCAAATACATGCATTTGTGCAAGCAAGCCGGATCTTGCCGAATTTCCGACGGCCATAGCTCCGAGGACAAGGTCGACTTGTCTGCCTCGAGAAAGACATTGGCATTAATCAAGCTACCGCCACCAAGACCTGCACGTTTTTTTTTCATCCTCCTTGTCAGTGCTTTTGTCAAAAAGTGGCCCATCCATTTTGACCTGGCTCACCATTCGCAACGACGGCGCTCTGGCCCTTGCCCGCCACAATATGGAACATGCCCGTGGCCTTGCCGCAGGCCCCGGCCCGCCCTGCCGACAGATGGACTTGGCCGGCCACCTGGCGCAGGCCGGTCGGGTACTCGCCCGGCCATTTCTCGTCGCCGCGCTCGAGGACGCACGCGGACTGGCCGGCGCGGGCCATGCGCGCCGCCGCCACGCTGCCGCCGTACCCGGACCCGATGACGACGCAGTCGTACGACGGCTTCAGGTGGCTCAAGGGCTTGGAGATGCGTGGAAACGGGGGTTTCGGGGACGCGGGTGGCGCCGCGGTTGTCCCGTCTCGCATGGCGAGGCCGTCTTCCTCGGAAGACAGGCGCTCGTATCTGCCGCGGCTGGACTTGGGAAACATGGCAAAAGCATGGGCCAGTATAGTATGGGGTGAAGAGGCGCGCCAATGAAGATGGTCATGTTGTTATTAGAGTTGGCTCTATATAAGGAAGGGGAGGGGGAGCCATCTGAATATCTACAAAATCTCCTGCTGTCTTGCCTCGGCTCTCGTAGTTGGCGTGCGTAGACAACGGCTGGAACGCAACGCCCGGTGATTCCAGCAAGTTGTCCGATCATGGGAGCAAGTCAAGCTGAGGGCGCTCTGTAAGCCACAGAGTATCAAGAATGGAGCACTCTGTAGGTCACGGACAGCATTTCAGTCAGCTTTGGGATCCTAGGGCGCTCATCACAGACAGCTGAGATAGGGCGCTCTACTAGTCGGCAGCAAATCATAATCATAAAGACATGGCGATTGTTTGCTTGGTGGCGGCCATGAATCATCACCCCCGCCTCCCTGTCAGATACCAAGACGCTAGATCTCGTTCATCGCTCATAGTCGTCGCTCGCAAAAGCCTTGATGAACCAAGACTCAAATTCATGTGCTGGGTATGGGTATACTGTTTGGTCGACATTGTTTACCCTGCTAATATGCTGGTTGTGTATTATACCTACATAACTGGATTAATCAATTCGCCCATATATATTTATAGAGCTTTACATGAACTGTAAATTTAGCTCAAAAAGTAATTGGTCCACGATATTTTTGTCATCATGATGAATTGTAAAGTCCTGGTCGTTTATTTCGTTTAAACGTGACCACAATTGTGCAAACTCAGACATGCGCTGTATCCTTGGCAGTAATGGCCCATGGGGGGACATGCCGCTTTGTGAATTGAAGCTCATGTCAGATTAAGCAATGGGCGCCCGCAACATGCATCGTGGGGGTGATGGGCCGTGGCATGGGTAGTACATGTGCCCGCACCCACTCAACAATTGTGCAGCGTCGTCGAGGGAAGTGGCTGTTGGCACGTGCAGCACAAAGTCGCGGCTATTGCCGTTCTAGCATTAGGCGTCTGCAATATGCGCACAATGCGCTGCGAGGTGGTGGTGGTGATGGTGGTGGTGAGCAGTGGGCACGGGAGCAATAAGCCAACAATAAGCCAACTATTACCTACCTAGGTACATCCGTACCTACCTACTGATCAGACCAGTGCTTATGAAAGGGCGCACGGGCCTTGACATGTGCCACAGTGAGACACTGCAACGACTCGAATCTCTCACTGTGTTGAGAAAGAGAGAGAGAGAGCGCCAACCAAGACATATATCTTGTTTAGATGGATATTATTAATTATTGTAGAAATTAGTTTCATAGTACTAAAAGACATGAAAACGACTGAATATGGACATGACTTCGTAACTATTATTAAAAAAAAAACAAGAATAACACCCAATAAGCCCTGTTTTTTTTCTCTTCTTTCTTTCTTTCTGTCTTTTTTTTTTGTTTTCAGCTTGTGTAGCGACCGATGCTTGCGCCCGGGTTCCAGCCGCCTTCAAATTTGCCCTCTGCGGCAATATTCGTGCCATCGCCCAGTCGCAGCGCCGTCGCCGTATCCTTGGTGCACATTCCGTACAGCTGCAAGTTTTTGGGCGTCTTTTCGATCCAGTGCTGCACCTTTTGGCACTGAAAGCGCTCCGCGCACTCTTGATAGCCCGGGCCGCTGAAAAACACCCACGACGCGGAACCAAAATACGTAACGTCGGCGCCGCCTTGGATGTAGTTTGCCAGGCCCATGCGGCAGCGGGCGTCGTCGCGCTTGCACCACGCGAAATCCGGGTCGCCCCAGCCGTGCGCGTCGGGCTTCCAGGGAGCCGGCGCGAGCTTCTTGGCATGGTCGCCCTGCTCATAGTTTGTCTCGCTCTGCAGCAGCGTCACGATGACGTTTTCGGCGGATCGCAGGTTGAGCTGGTAGAGCCACCAGTGCTCGCTGCCGAGCGCGTGCAGCCACGTGCCCTTGGTCGATTCGACCAGCGCGCCGCCTTTGCCCGCGATGCTAGAGCCTCCGTCAAAGTCCTCGGTGATGTGGTCGGCGACCCAGTTCCAGACATTCTCGACATAGGCCGACGAGGACTTGGTAAAGTGCAGGCCCAGGTATGCGGCTTGGCAGGGGTTGCTGGCGTCCTTGCACGAGTCTGTGAGGCCGGGAGCGCCTTTGGTGCCGCCGACGGTGATGAGCGAGTTGAAGAGCGCAACGTCGCCCGGGGCGGAGCCGGCAGCCCGGAACTGGACAATAATGGCGCCGGGAAGCACCTCGGACACGGTGAAGCGCATGTCTTGAATCTGCGCAACACCAACGTCACCGTCCTTGCCCACCTGAACAACCGGCTTCGGTTTAGAAGCATCCTTGAAGAATTTGCCGCCGCCCGAGATTGTGGACCATGCCTCGCCGACAATCTGAGAGCCAATGGGAATGACCAGAGTAGATTCCACGCGGTAGTCGCCATACGGAAAGTACGCAATCTTCTTCTTGGCAGCCGCGAATTCGAGAATCTTGTTGAGCACCTCTGCCTCGTCGAGCGTACCGTCGCCCTTGACAGAGTGGCCACCATTCTGCTTGGAGTCTTTGATATTGATAAAGTCCGTGACCGCGTTGCTGGCGAAATTAGGCACCGTGACGGAAGGAATGCGGCCGCCGGGCGCCGCGACACTCGAAAGCTTGTGAGCGCCAGTCGTCGCCCCATAGACTGGATCGCGGCCGACGGTGTTGCCGTACGAAAAGTTGTCGACGTGGCTGGTAGCTTTGAGCTCGGTGCCCTCGGAAAGCTCCACAATGTCCGACTTTTTGTCCGTCTGGAGATTGTGTATCAGGATCGATGGAGTAGCAGAGGACTTGAAAGTGACGCCGGATTCGGTCGAGTTGCCGTCGATAACACCAATAAAGGGGCTTCCCTCCGTGTTGTGGATGCCAGTCTTGACACCGTCAAAGACGGGTGCCAACAGGCTGATGGTATGACCGCCGGAGATGAGCATGCCGACCTCGTTTTTGTAAAAGTAAATGTTCTTGTACAGTGCTTGCTGGTGCGTGTCATGCCAAATGCCATTCTATGCCGAATTAGTAGACGACGACGACGACGACGACATGTATCAAATAGCTGTCAAGCTTACCTGGCCATTCTCGATACGGACATCGGCAAGAGCCAGTGTGGAACCCCGGCCGAGTCTGATGCCGCTATGGCCCTGACCATTGCTCGGGCTGGGCATCTGGATCTTGATGTTTTGAAGCTGGGAGACTTGTGCAACTCCCCAGTAGAGGGCCGTGAATTCTTTGCCGCCGTCGATAGCCGTGGTATCCAAGATTAAATTCTTCAAGCTAATGGCAAAGGAGTTTTCGCCCTTTTCCTTGGTGGAGGGATCCTGGCCTGTTGCATTCTATAAGTTTTTTTGCTTCAAGGCACTGCAAAAGTAAATCTTACCATTGACCAATACATCGTCGCTGAAATCCTTTGCTGCTTTGATGACAGGAGGCTATAGTCGAGTCAGTCCACTCCACGCAACCGTCGACAAGGGTTTTCTTACATCCGTAGCATCTCCCATAAGTACTGTATCAGTTTCCATGAAAATAGTGTTGCTAATTTCATAGGTTCCAGGAGGAATATACACAACCTGTAAAAACGCGTTAGTTGCGCTGGACAGCTTCATGATTTGCGACTTGGCGCGCGCGCGACATACGCGAGGTTGAGAAGCTAGCCATTGCTTGTTGCGCTGGCCGTCGGGCGCAGAGGTGATGGCATCCTGAATGCCAGCGCCGTCGCCAGGTCTAACAGCGACATAGACGTTGTACTTGGCAGCATCTTCTCCGAGATTCGGGGCATAACCTCGCGGTGGCCCGATGTGGTCCATGGCCGAGTACCAGAAGCCAGAGAAGCCGCCGCCCTGCGGGCCGGCAATGGCCAGCATAGCCAGCGCGACGGTTTTCAGCATTTTGATTGACGGAGCTGCAGCCGGGTACTCGCTGCGCGCAGAGTCAACCTGGTCGGCATGCACCTGGGAATGTGGTTGAGCGACGAAACAAGGCCACCGAAGCAAAGAGCAAGAATCCGTGTTGAAGCGATAAACAAAATATAATGCGAAAAAAGCTTAACCCAAGACAGACGTTCTAGAGGCGTAGAGGCGCAAAAGTGATTTTCATTGGGGCCGAGACTGAGGCTGAGCGATGCGCTAAAATTTGTAAAGGAGAGAGAAGGTAAGCTGAATATACCCCTGCATGCCCTGGCAATTCCTCTTGTTCCCGGGGCTAATAAGTACTTTTGGTGGACGCTCTGATTGCTCGGACGTTTCTATGCGCAACGGCGAAAACGGTTGTCCTGTGTCTCAGGTATATTCACATTGAGCGTTAATTGGTCAGTCTCTCCCACACCTAAGCAAAAAGGAAATGAAAGATTGGAATGCTGCATGCAGAGGAAATCCCAATTGCCTGTTCAACTGTCAACCCTGTGTACTTTGTACACCAGTTGACCAGGAACAACACCAACCAGGTCGCGTTCAGGGGTAATATTTTTAGAGGCACACATCACCTGCCGCATTCAAACTATAAACCCGATGGGCCCTGACTAAAAAAGGGCAAAAGGGCGCGACGGGCCATGGGAAAAACTAGGTAAAAACCGGGGATTATTTGGAGACTAGATTGCCCATGGGAAAACGCGGGCTTTTTTTTTTTTTTTTTTTTTTTTTTAAAATGATATTAAGCAATTCATCGATGATGCGTATTGATGCTTTTGCGACAACTAACAAGGCATTGATTGGGCCGCCCACTGCTCAGTGCGCTGCGAAAGCCACATCGGACGATTTGACCCAACGGACGGGGGTGCAGGGGTACCTCGCAAAAACACGATAGCCGCATCCAACAAACAAACTGATCCGTAGTAAAATACAAGACATTTTTACCGAGAACGTGGGGTTACGGAGGCTCAGAGGCTGGAGCCCAGCATTTCAGTCATGTTATTGTCTCGCATCGCGAAAACGGAAAGAGCAGCCACAATCTGTCACCCTGCGTGACGTTTTGGACAGTTGTATATACTTGGTAGCAGAGGCGCTGTGGCTGGCCCAGACTATTGTGTACAATTAGCGGCGGCCACTTTCTCTATTTCTTGCACCATGAGAAAAGTCAATAGTTTCTCGGCTACCAACGGGGAAAAAAAAAAAAAAAAAAAGAAAAAGGCCAAATCAACTTTGTCCTCTTTCTATTCAACGCAGCACTACCGCAGCGCATGACTCGAAAGTCGGCTCAGGACGGTGCTGGATTAAAGCTGCCAACGCGCGTCTGCATCTTTGCCAACTGCCATGCTTGATGCTTGATTGAGTAATGAAAACCATGCCTTCATCCTACGTCGACCAAAACAAAATTGAGTTACTCATTGCTGCGATTCTTTGATTCTGTTGAATTTCGATGCATTGTCAGCATGTCGAAATGGTGTATGTTGCTCGGCTACACTCTCAATATTAGGCATTATTTCATATTCTTGCGGGTCAATATAGACCGTACCTACATTTAGACCAACTGACAACCTCCAAGTGGAAGCAAAAAAATAGAATTCACCAGGAGACTAGGTGCTTTCCGAGTCAGAAACGGAGATACATTACACCATACATATCTGACAAAAGCGACGGAATGAAAAGTGCGTGGTAAATAGCGCAACGCCTCTACAAAACAAGCCGCTGCTCTCTGGCATGGGCAACTGCCCATGCCATTTATTAGTCCGCCTCCTCTTTCGAAAAATAATGATCCCTCGCGGACACAAGTGGCCGAATCCGGCGGCCCACAGCGCAATGCATGTAAACTGCACCGCCAGAAGCCAGCAATCAGCCAATCACACACTAGCTGTGTATTACATAGTTCGACGCCTCTATAATTGGATCATAGACAGGAACGTACTATTATACTGTCCAGGTGGTGAGTGCGAGGTCTAGCCCTAGCAAGTCGGATAATTATCCATCCGGGCAATTCATTGACACTGGGGGGGTAAAAGTTGCTCCGTCACGCGCCCTCATCTCCAACTGCTTCTCAGGCTCCCACCTCAGACTCTTGATGATGATTCCAGACCGCACACCATGACTAGTTTAAACTACTTCTTCTACCAGAGGTCAGGACACAAACAGCCTGATTAGTCTGAAATGCTCATTGCAACGACAACCTGTTCAGGCCTGTTATTATTAGTTCACTGAGCTGATATGGCCCTAACCATGACCGGCCTTGTCAAGGTCCCCGCTAAGCTGTTGCTGGACTCGAAAATGAGGCTAGACAAAACTCAGAATCAGCCCTCCCTTGTGAACAATATCGTACCTACAGCTATTACTTTCTTGTCAGCTAACCGTGGTTCTGGACCTGCCCGGTCCGGCCGCTGCCCGTTGCAACTTCAATCATCATCACTCTTTACACCCAACGATGCACTCACTTACATGAAGAAAGAAAAAAAAAAAAACAAAATGCTGTTCACCATGAACCGCTCAACAATCTGCCAGCAACTAAGAAAGCGGCTTAGTATCATCACGCTGGCCACCTTTCTCGCATCTTTGGCGTTTCTCTTCTTCACGTACCTCGATCCAGAGGCCCGGGCTGTCCGGGGCATCGCTCGACTTGGCCGGCCGGCCTCCCGTCCGACCGAGACCTCGTCCATGTTTGGCGACGTTATCGAGGCGCTCTATAAACCCCAAATACATCCCATCACGGCCGAAAACTTTACCGACGAGACTGGTCAAGTGTTTCGAAATTCCGGCGAGCCCTTTTACAAAAAGGGCCTGGGAAAGCGCGTGTTGATCCTCGATGCCGACACACGGCCGATGAACAAGGACGGGGAGCTACTCAGCAGCGGCGGCATGAAGTGGCCGCATCCAGATCCTATATCCTCTGGTATGCTCAGCCACTATCTATACTGTATGTGTGTCGCGCGCCCGTTTTCATATTCTCTCCAGTGTCTCAGACAGCCAGTCAGTCAGTAACCTTGTTCAAAAAAATTTCCCCTAACAAGAAGACAACTTTTACAACAGCGCGAATCCACGGTTACGATTACCAGCTCATCCAAGTCACGCGCATCTCTGACTGGTCCAACACCTGGTCCAAGATCCCCGCCATCAAGCACGCCCTCATGTCCTACGACTTGGTCGTCTTTCTCGACCAGGACGCCGTCTTCCGCTACCCGGCCCTGCCGCTCGAGTGGCTCCTCAACCACTGGCGGCACACCAACGAGACGGCGCTCCTGCTCGCCGCCGACCCGGACAAGGCCTTCAACACCGACCCCCACGGCAGCCGCTACCTCAACACGGGCTTCATCGTCGCGCAAAACAGCACCCGCACCCACCGCCTCATCGACGCCTGGCTCCGCTGCCCCTTTGGCGCCGAGTACTCGGGCTGTCGCCGCTTCGCGCACCAGTGGCCGCACGAGCAGGCCGCGCTCGTCAGCTTCGTCCACAGGTACGCGTTTACGCGCCCAGAAGACGTGCGCGCCGTGCCGTGCGCAGAGGCCAACGGCTCGCCGTGGACCGCCGCCGAGCACGGATGCCGCGGCGCACTGGTACGGCATCTTTGGCGGAACGGCAAGGGCCGGCAGCCGGATGAGCTCGTCGACCAGGTGCTACGGTATCTGATGCCGGCGCTGTATAGCGATTTTCGGAATGGGTACTACAAGACCTTGGCCATGGCTTCGGCGCCTGAGAAGACAAAGAGTAACAGAGGAGGCTAATCTAGACGATGGCATTTTGAGCAGGAAGAGATATATGTCCCTTCGAGCAGGAAGAGAGGGACACATATCTCGATCAAGTACATTTTGGGTAAATATACAAATAGCTCATCTATTCAGTGCGGCGTCCTGGTTCTGCGTCATACTTTTCTGTTTGCTCCCTCTGGCTATCGTGTCCGGCATTGTAGGCATTCCTTCATTATTGTCTTGCTTTAGAAATCATCATGTTTCTGTCTATTCAATATAATTACAAGCTCGCAAAGACTGGCAGAGCAGTAAATCATACAAATTGGCCCTCCACTAGCCAGCATGGCCATACATGACAACGTAGAATTGTCAATCCCTTTTGTATCCCTTTTTTCTTTTCTTTCTGTTCAATATGTACAAGTTTCTCATCCACCTTTTTTATCGAGCCGTTGACGAGGCGCCTCACAACTTGGTCCACTTGGCCGTCAGGTGCTCCTTTTCATTCTTGACGACACGTAGTGCAAATCCGCCTTTGACGTCGGCGACTTCAAGTCCAAGCCGCGACGGCAGAACCATCGGTCGCTTAAATTGCACCTCGAGCGCGCTGGGCGTCTCCTTGCCCCCGTCGGACCGTGACAAGAGCAGCACGGCCTTGTCCGCCGTGTTTAGGCCTGGCGTCATGACGCGCGAGGGGTCCCGCGCAATCAGCTCCACGGCGCGGGCCAGAGCGTGGTTCCCGTGCGCAATCTTGCCCGGGAAGCCAAAGGCGCGGGCGAGGATGCTCGACATGTGGATGGGGTTGTAGTCACGACACAGCGCCGCCCACTTCTTGGGCGCCCGCATACCAAGTTCCACAATCTCGCCATCCGCCGACATCCACGCTGGCTCTTGGCCCGGCCCTTGCTCGCCGTCGCCGTCCACGGCTGCTGTCGGACTCAGATCCCGGTATAGAGGTTTCGTGTCGCGCGGCAGACGGGCCAGGACGGCGCCGACTTGCTTAAAGATGACGGTCGGAGAGGTGTCGCCGCGTCGCAGTGCCGCCACCTCAAAGTATATCTCAAACTCGATGCCTCGCCTCGTCCGACGGCCGCGATTGCTCGGCCCGCCGAGAGAAGCGGAGACGGTGATGCCGCGCGTTAGGTCGAGGACCTGGGTCGGGTAGCGGCAGGCTTCGGGGTCAAGAAAGGTGAATATGTTGCGGGTGTTGACGGCACCAAACGGGTGAATCGGGAGATTGCGATTGGCGAGGAGGATGGACATGAGCGGGTTGATGAGGCCGGCGATGAGGAGGGAGCGGTTATTCTCGGCGGCGGGCGCGGACAAAGGGTCGTTTTTGGTCGACGGGGCCGCGGAAAGGACGCTCTTGTTGGCGCGTGGGGAGGTTGCCGCGTCGAAGCGCAGCAGGTCGTCGTCGTCAATGTCGAGGGTGCTGGTGACGGACAGCGCGGGGAGGTCGAAGCCGAGGGAGTCGGCCGAGGGCGCGAGCGGCGGGGCGAGGCCAAAGACTCGCTGGAGCAGCTTGAAGAGGACGAGGAAAATGATGACGAGGACGTCGCGGCCGTCGAGCCGCGAGACGGGCTTTGGCAGCACAGCGTGCGGCGCGCCCGTGGCCTTGAAGAGCCCGAGCCGGGGGACGAGAATGAGACCCGCGGTGAGCAGCGGCACACCGACCGTGGCAAAGGCGCCGACGGCCACGGGCGAAGCCATGGTGTTGGATGCGGACGATGCCAGTGTGGTGTGTGTGGCGGCAATTGGTTTTGGTAAGCTGCGGTGGTGAGGATGCGGGGGGAAAAGGGCTAAGAAGATGTTTGAGGTAAACGGTTTGAGGAAGCTTAGTTACCGTCTACCTAGTGAAGTGACGCAGATCTGCAGAGGTGGTGTTCGTCAACGGTGGATCGGCCCCACTCGCCGAATCTGGTCTCAAGCTTGCCTGCAGATCAAGTCGGAAACTTGGCCTTTCCATGAAACATTGAAACAAAAAATTTTGTATATTCAATTCTTACAATACAATCCATCGCATATCATGTAGAATCGGACTAGACCATCCGAGAAACGAAAACGAGATCCCGATCAAGAGACGACGACATGCAGAATCCTGCTCCCACAACTTAGCATTTACCAGCACTAGCAGCCAGCTTGGCAGCTGTGGACTGGAGAACCTCGACAAGCTCAAAAACTTGATCCTTTTGGTTATCGCAGCTGGCCGAGCCCAACTTGTCCTTGCCAGCCACAAGACAAAACTTGCCGCCGTCGGAGCTGGGCTGAAGGACCATGGTGGTGTTTTTGCTGGCGTCAAACGGGAACAGCTGAGACGTTGCCGTTTCGCCCTCTACTCGGGGGAGTCAGCCATGGAAATCACAACAAGGGCATAATACGTGGTTTTTCAAGGAAATAACAACTTGCCTCCATCTGCGCGACCGCCACACGAGAAAATAGTCACCGTATCCCCCTGCTGTCGGCGACTGTCGAAGCTTAGGCACCCATTCGTCAGGACGCTGACCAGCAGCGCCTTGCCGTCCTTGCCGTCGTTGTGCTTGCCCCGCGTCACGACGTCGAATTTTTGCCGCGAGTCCTCGCTGCACGTGGCGAGGCCGACGGGGATGAGGTTCTGGCGAGAATCGCCCGCGGTCGGGTCGAGGCTCAGGCAGCGGCCGTCGGGGGCGCGCAGGTTGATGCTCTCGAGGGCACGGTCGGCCGTCGTGTCAAACTGGTTGGCGGCGGCGGCGGCGGTTGGGTTGAGACTTCCGCCGGCGCCCGAGACGGGAACTTGAGTGGTCGGGTTGGCCGTGTGCTGGCCGTTGGGCAAGCGAGTGGTGGTGGCCGTCGCGTTGCGACTGTTGGATGCGGCGTCGTTGTCCTTGTTGCCGTTGCAGTCCACAGTGCTATTACTGCCACTGACGTTGTTGCTACCACCAGTATTCGTGCCGATGCCGTTGTTCTCGCTACCATTAGTGTCGGTGCTGGTGCCATTCTTCTTGCTGCCACCGTTACAGTCAGCAATATCGCTGATTTTGCCGTCTTTTTTGCCCGGGGCGGGCGTCTGCGTTGGCAAGGTAGTGACAGTAACAATACTGGTGGTGGTTGAAATATTAAAGCTGCATGGAGCGGGAGGTCTCAGAGGTAGAGGCGTTGAAATGTTCAGTGACTTGGAAGGCTTCGCGGTGCTCGAGAGGTCAACGTCGGCGCTGGGTGTCTCACCAACAACGGTCGAGCTAGGCGTGGGCTGTCTGCTCTGACTAATATTCCCATCGCTGCTCTTTCCGGCGTCGCCACCAAAGGTAAATTTTTGCTTGTCGTCCTTGTCGTCGCAGACGGCGATGACGACCTTGTCAACGGCCGCTACCAGGCACTGGCCGGGGCTGTTTTGCGGCGTGAGCGCAATGGTGCCCTCGGTGCCCCCGGTGCTGTTAAACGCAAAGAGCTGCGAGTCAGACACCTCGCCGCCGCCGTCCGCTCGCCCACCGCAGGAGAACATGTGCACCTGGGAATCCGACGGCCGTCGTGGATCAAAGCTCAGGCAGGCCTGGGTCAGGGTGCTCACCACGAGCGCCTGGTCCTGCTTGTCATTGTGCTTGCCCTTGGTGACCACGTCGAAGCCTTGGCCGGCGGACACGCTGCTGCAGTCGGCGATTTGGAGCGGCGTCAGGTTGGCGCGGGAGTCGCCGGAGAGGACATCGACAAAGAGACAGCGGTCGTCGGCCGTTTTGATCTGCACGTTGGCGAGAGCGCGGGTGGCCGCATCGTCGCGCTGTTGGGCCTCCTTGAAAGCGACATTGTTGAGTTTGTCAACGGTGCGGGGCAGGAGAGGGTTGCCAGCGGCGAGTACCGCGGCGAAAAGGTTGGTGTAGATGGCAGAAGCGTGAAGCATGGTTGGAGGAGTGTTGATAAAAAGGAGCGGCAAAAGTTGGTCAAAGAAAGGAAATATAAGTCTGCACAGCAGAGGACCTGATCAAAGGCCCAAGAAAAGAAGTCTTACAAGAGCAAGAAGAAAGAGTACAAATCTGAAAGGAGCGGACAGGTTACTTCACCTCATGGCATGGGACAGACGTGCATCATCGAAGTGCAAGAGACCTTCACTGGGTGGGCAGTTACTTATATTCAGCTCGCGTGGTAAATTACGCAGCGCATTATTGAAAAAAGCCTCTATCCTCGATCAAATCATTGGACATCAAAGGACGCTTCATCACGCAGGGACTGCGTCACGACGCGCCGGTGTACCGATGGCGTGCAGCGGTGACACACGGGCGACACGGGCCACCCCGACCAAGCCCGCCCACGGCAGGCTCCGGTGGAAATGAGAGGGGATCGACGAGTCTCCATCCGGAACGCCGTTCCTTGCCATCGGAGGCGGGAGGGCTTGTTTGGCGGAGCAAAGTGTTTCATTACCCGCGATGCGGCCAACAAACAGGAGGTAGTGGAGGCGAGGCCATCGCTGGCACAAATGGCCAAGGTCGATGGAACGCCAATAGGGCTGGGGAACTACGCCTGGAATCGCAACGTGCCAGGTTTCACCTGGGACGAACATGAGACGATGGGCGGAAATCAGCGGGGAAGCAGTTGTAGTGATTCGGCATGAAATGGCCGTTGGCCGTTTTCGTCTTGACGTCTGTGAGAGGTGCATGTGGCTGAATCACCCACGGTGGTCATTTATGTGAAGAGAAAAAGGCAACAAAGGGACTCGTTGAAACTCGAAATTAATATTGATTCCGTATTAGCAAAGATGCTAGTAGAACCCCCCACCTCTGGGGGAGGGGGGGGGGGGAGGTGACTGGCCTGGCCGCCCAGGTGTTGGCGCGGTATAAGCTGCAATTGATGTGATGTCCCAGAGCATCACATGCAGCAATGGCGTTGAGCTTTTCATCAAAACGAAAAGTTGAACTTTTCTTCAAGACCAAAAAAGAGGATTCATCAAAAGGGTTCAAGAATCAGGACTTTGCTGGCCCGCCCCTGCAGTAGTGGCTGGCCCATGGTGATGCGAAACGGCCGACGCTAGTTGACTTGGGACAATGGCAGTTTCAGACGAAGAGGAGAGGCCAGTAATCAGCAAGATGAGCAATTAATCAGACAGACAATAAGGGAGATTAAACAAAAAAAGACATCTCTCTTCCATGTATTGGTGCTTTTGATTCTTCTACATTATTGCTTTCGACTGATATATACAGACGCTCTTGGCTCCCAACCCCCACTCCGGCCTACCCGGCCGGCTCCTAAACCCGATGACATACAGGTTCACCAGCTAGGGCTGTCGATTATATGTTGCTTTGTATCCCCCACTCCCCTCATTCGCAATTAACTCATGACACTTTCTCTATCAACGTTCTCCCCCCTCAATTTCCGTCATCATGTCGCACCTCAAGTACTACGCATACAAGGACCTCGGGGTCAAGCAACGCAAAGACTTTCACTACAGCCAGGCCGTGCGCGTCGGCGACCGCATCGAGTGTGCAGGTCAAGGTGAGCCACAATCCCGCCCGGGTTGTTTTTTCGTGCCAAAAAATTTTATATGCTCAAAAACATTGTTTGGCTGTAACTTAGGAGGCTGGGACCCCAAGACTGGCGCGTTTGAAAAGGAAATCAACGCCCAAATCGATCTCGCCTTTGCCAACGTGGACCTGGCCCTCAAAGATGCCGGCGGCAAGGGCTGGTCACAGGTGTTTCGCGTCAACTCGTACCATCTGCCCCTCAACACGGAGGCCATGGACGCCATGGTGCGCAATTTTCGCAGATACATGCCGGATCACCAGCCGCTATGGACCTGCGTCGGTGTCACGCGTCTAGGTGAGGACGATATGCGCGTCGAGATTGAGGTCTCTGCGCATGATCCGGAGGGGGCCAAGACGGAGTGACAAGTCCGGCGGGAATGTGCGCATACACTTTTAAAAGGAACGCGGAAAAAAAATGTTTTTTTTACGCTAAAAATATATATACTTTAATGACTTGAGTAAAGTTGGATACTGAATACTAAAATTATCAAGCCTGCAAAATTTAGTGATTAGGCTCGGGGCTTGTATATATAATGTGGTGTTTGTGTAAAGACGAGATAGACCTAGAGTCAAATATTATAGTGTAAGAAACTTTTCAACCTCGTCCGAAATATCCTGCAACGGATGGTCTGTCCTATTTCCCGCGTTGCTGCCCTGAACCTTGGCATCGTTGGAGAACAAGTTGACCGAGTACAGCCTGGCCCCCATCTGCACCGTAGCCACCGAGAGCGCACCCTGTTGGCGATAGGGGTTCGGAATAGTCCCCAGCTTCTCGGCAAATGTCCAGCTCGCGTCTCGCGAACAAAGGACGACGGTGCCTAGATTATACCGGGAGACGAGAAGGATCCTGCCATTGTATCGCGGCGGCATGTAGACGGCGTCGAGGTCCTGGCCAATGGTCTCGTTGCCGGGGCCGAGGGGGATACGCACAGGGATGCCCTCTTGGCGTCGTCGGGTGTCGAAGCGGTACAGCTGTCCGTCGGCCTGGTCTGCGACAATGAGGTTGTGGCCTCGCAGGGCGAGACCAGAGAAACCGTCGCTGGAACCGAGCGGCGGGCCTACATACCACGGGATGACCTCGGAGCCATCAGCGCTCACTCGAAGGATGCTACTTTTTCCATAGGTCCCCAGCACAAAAGAGTCGCCATTCTTGGTGTGCTGGACGTCTTGGAACCCCCCGTATGCACCATTGGAGACGGCTGTCAAGTTGGCTGTGAAGATTGTCTGATTCGTCTTCAAATCGTACTTGACAAGAAAATTATTGCCCGACAAGTCTTTACCAAAGGTGTCGAATGCGGCACCCGCGTTGATCACAACAGACAGGTGACCAAGCGGATCGACTCGTACTCCTGTAGAATGCAAAGTAGCATCGCCGCTGAGTCCTGGAAAGGATATAGTGTTCGTCACCTCATTCTTCACGGGATCGTAGACGGCAACGGAGGCGTTGAAACAGACACTGCTCATTTAGCAAGTATTCTACATATTGACATTTTGCCTGATCCTTACCTCAAGTACGCGACACATCTTGTCGTGTCAAAGCATGCATTTTCCGGATATAATTGATATGACGAGATGTCCAAGTCTCCAGGCCGAGGTGAGGGGCACCCATTCCTCGCGGGACAGGCTCGAGAAACCGAAAGGCCGAAAAGTGCTGTCAAGACCAAGAAGCGCATGTTTGAATTATCACTTTTGCAACAAAATTGTCTAAAGACTTTGGTAGGTATGAGAAACTGGTCTTTGCAGGGTAAGATGTCGTCCTTATATACTCTGCTTAAGGCCGTTTTGGTCTCCACGACCTGTAGTGTTGATTGATCATCTCTTTTGCTATACCTGTTGGCTCTGGCCTCAACAAGAAATTGCGTCGGCAAGTGTTAGACCATGATGAGGTTTTGATTACGCCTTTGCTCTGCCTGGGGGGGGGGGGTATTCGGCATGACGGAGACCAAACATCGCCGAGGCCGAAAGATTACACCATGTCTGAAGCCGGCCAAGCCACCCAGCGCACTGTCCACTTTTCTTATCGCAGCAGACAGAATCGTTATATGTAATTGGATAGGGCCGAGCACTGCACATCAAAACACAGGAGCCAACATTGTACCAGTATGTAGGCATCCTACGGTCCGGCCCCATTTGTCTGATCGGTTGGCGCGCCGGACTCGGCGGTGAAAGGTGTGCCGCCGACACCCGATCCCGCGCTTCCTCCTACAGCTCCACTCCTACGCCGCGCTTAGAAATAAATAAGTCTCTATTATGAAAAATAATAATAATTAAACTTAAAAAGAGTACATTTATTAGTATCATCTAGCAGTGTCCTGCAGTCCTCCTGGAAGAGGGGCGTTGGATTAGTACTCTATAGGAATTGAGCACATATATAAGAAGCGCTCTTTTTCCTTGCGTTCTGACCTGAGTGACACAGGTAAATTCGGAGCCTAAACTAAACCGGTAAGTAGTCGCTGAATGGGCTAGTGTTACTGCACAATGACTTTTCCAACAGAACTAGCTGACACTCGGAAGCGCAAAATGATTCCCGTAACAACAGTTACCAAAGACATTGACGCCCCAATTGGGGAAGTCTGGGCCATCGTTTCCGCATGGGGCTCAGAGAAGCTCTGGTTCCCAAACATGATGCGATCAAGCCTGGAGGGCTTTGGAGTTGGATCAGTACGGACATTGACTTTTAAACCTGGAGACTTTACCGTCTCTGAGAGACTAGAAGCAGTCGATCCCTTGGCACATACTCTTTCTTATGCTCTTATCCGGAACCCTGACCATGATAGGGCCAAGTATCCTCGTGGGAGCATCGTGTTGGATGACCTTGGCGGAGCAAAGACAAGATTTACGTGGTCCTGCAAGGCAAGTTGGGTGGATGAGAACTTCAAAGCCGAGTTCGTTAATATGATCACCGGCATGTATAGCGAGGCTATTGATTGTCTGGGAAAACTGCTAGCTGCTTCGGAAGACGGTTAGGTCGAGTACAGCCAAAAGTTCTGTTACGCTGTTGAAGATATCTAACAGGATTTTCTTGTATCGTCTAAAATCACATACACACTTTATTAATCAAGCAATCAAGGCTGCCGCGAAAATTCCATCTTTTTCTTTACATTTTTCTTTTAAGCAGCGGCTGATTGGCTCTTCATGTCATGAATCTATGGCAGAGCGCAGAAACACCACAGGTTCCTAGCCTTGGAGCTGCCAAACTTAACCTAGCGCGCGCCCTTTGGCAGTGACATGTATGCCTTTGTGACCCCCGCTTATAGTCAAGAGCAACCAGTTGTAAATTCCAAGCCATCTGCTCTGGACCAACATACGGCGCGGATTGTTGATTAAGCTCGGGGTGGCGCGAGTGTAGAGGAGCGCCACCGCATATGCCGTCCTCGGCATCCCACATGACTAAAAAAAGAAGAAAGGTATTTATCAGCCAAACGGCCACCCACATTACCAATGTGAGCTTATACCTGATTTAAGTGTCCGAGCCCCAAATTCTTTTGGGCGGCCGAGACGCGGGGCCTATTCATCGCCGAGGCCGATTGCTGCTCACAATTCACAAGACGAAGATTCTCACCCGTCTCACACACCGGTTGTAGCTGCCTTGATTTGGTAGAATTTATTTACAAAAGTCTTCGGCATGGTCTCCCCTCCCGACCGATTGAAGCGTCGGACGGCCGAGTCAAAAATTTCGCATTCGGCGCCAGCATCGTTCCCTTTGTCCCAGCGATACGATCGGTCCTGCATCGTGTGCCACAGGAGAAAGGTACGATGTGACCGACAGTCACCCTGCTCCACCTGTACGCGGAACCGCTCCTTGTGCACATATCCGCCCTCCAATACGGCAGTTGGCCGCGTTCGCAAGACGACAATTTCTGATGTCGCGTCGCGCCTCTCTAGCTTGGAGAGATCCATCACGGCTGCAACTACCGGCGGCGCCGTCCAGGCGGAGAAGACGCCATCCTCGGGCCTTGTAGGTTCCTCGCCGCAGGCCAAGGGTCGAGTCTCGCCGACAATTCTGCTCCACAGCCAGAACTCGAGCCAGTACTTTGATGAATTACTGACGACTCGTGTCATTGAAGAGGTGAATGAGAGCTAGAGAATGGTGCATCCGTGATATATAGCTAACCAAATGTGAAAGGATCGTGATAAGCCTTCACTGTTACGGAGAAGTGCAGACGAAAATCAAGTAGAAGCGAGGGATACGCTTTCTAGCCTGATGGGCACGTCGTTGAAGACTATCGCAGCAGATGGCACGGACAAGCATTGGCAGCCGCTGACTCGAGGCGCTTTGGAGCTGTGGCGAATCTTTACACAAAACGTAGACCCCTCCATGAAGATATTGCATATCCCAACCGCTGAAGTTTTATTCTTTGAAGCCATACGAGAACCCGAAACTGTCTCCAAAGACGCGTCAGTAACTCTCCGCGCGGTGTATTTTGCTGCTGCTGCGACAATGGAGGACCATGATACCCAGCATGTTCTCGGACTGGATCGGTTAGAGGCTTTACGTCTCTTTGAAAGTCAGTTCCAGCAGAGCTTATATGCGGCTGACATCTTGGAGCACCCCACGTTCCTTCTTTTGCAGGGACTGGCAATATATCTGGTGTGTATTCTTGTATCACTCGGGAACTGGGTCGTTGCGAGACTGACTGGCTACTCTGCAGACAGCATGCAGAACACATAACCACGGTAGAGGCTCGTGGATTTTGAACGGCCTTGCCCTCAGAGTTGCGCAATCGATTGGGTTGCACAGAGACGCATCTAGTCTGGGACTGACGCCGTTCGAGGCAGAAGTCCGACGGCGCCTTTGGTGGCATATGCTTGCCCGAGACAACCGTGCTGCAGAGGATCACGGACTTGGCTCGTCATCCGTACTGCCATCTTCTGACACAAGATTGCCTCTCAATATCCACGACGAAGACTTGTATCCTGGCATGGAAAATCTACCACCGCCAAGCTCAGGGTGGACAAAGATGAGCCTTCACATCATCAATATGGAAATAACACAAGCATTACAGCGCGTAACTGGGTTGTTGACATCGGCAACTGACTCGCAAAGCAAGGAACTGGTTCGACAAGAAATGATGGGTCGTCTTCGAGACCAGGTCAATACCTATGCGAGTGCTTCCTCTCCGTCGATTCCTTTGCACGAGCTGACCATGCAGCTGGCGCTTCTAATGGTTCACAAAGCGGATTTCATGACGCGTCAGCAGCTGATCAACATGGAGCATCCCCGCCAAGGAGAGATGGTGACGACGGAAGAAAGCCTCGTCACAGCATGTCAGTGTCTGGAGATATATTCTCGGCTCTGGGAGGATACGCTTCTCTGCCAATACAGATGGTGGCTTCGCAGCTACCCCCAATACCACATGCTTCTATACGTCCTATGGCATCTATATGTCAAGCCGGAGGGGCCAAGCACGGACAGAGCTTGGGAATGCGTTGAAAAACAATTCAAGATTATTCTAGAGGAAAATCCGGGGCACAACACGAAGCTTGTCGCATTGCAACGTCTCAAATGGAGAGCTGAAGGAAAGCGCAAATCTAGCTTGAACAGCTACAGCACACCGACCAGTCAATGTGCATGGACGGAAAGCAATGGCAGTGCAATCGTTACTGATACAGGCATAATTGGGGACCAGGTTGGGGTACAAAGTGTGTACCAGGATGATCCTTTCCTAGCCATGTCTACTTGGACTAGTTTTCTGGAAGATGTAAATATTCATCTGCCTGATTCTCTGGGGACTTGATAAGTTGGCGGTCGTTCAGTAAGAACCGGGTAATATTGCAGACACCGTCAAGACCGGAGAAGCAGCAGAACAGAAAAAAGAAAAAAAAGTCAGATGCGCAGGCATTCTCATGATTCGTTCCCTTTGTTTCTCTGGTGCACCCTCGCTATTCGCCAATCTAAGTGTCTGTCGCTGTAGGTAATTAATTTGTGCTCATCAAGGCTGTCCTGATTTCTGGAAAGAGCTCAGCCGGCATGGGGGGCTGATGCCGTCACAGACATTGGTGCGAGAAATTTGTCTCGGGGCCCATGATCGCGGTAAAAGTAAACGCACACAAACACGCAACGGGAATTGTCTTTCTCCAGCTCGGATGTAACTGCCCTTTATCGGATTAACTCTTTATTTTTGCGGCTGTGATCTCTGCCTGGATGTCGGCATCGATTCCCGATGTGAATGTGTGCTTGCGACCGGGCGCAATACTACGTCAGTTGTCACCAGCAGCCGCGTGAGGTTTAAATGCGCCCGACTCAAAAAGACAGAAAAATAAAGCACCTTGATACTTGAGCAGCGACGGTTACGGAAACAGTGGACACTTGTTGTAGTTCATGACGTTGGAAGATATTAGTAGTTAGAGTTTGGCAAGAATAGCTGCCGGCAGGGCCAGAAGTACTCCTGTATCGCATGATATCATTGTACACAATATTGTTCTACGACGACGGGCTTATGACATTCCGTAGTTGCGAGACTGCCTTTTTAGCGAGTGACGGCAGTTTTTATTTCTATATAAATTACTTAAAAAGAGCTATAATTACTACTTTATTTAGTAATAAGAAATAGCTAATTAAAGATACTAACGTAGTTAATAAGTAAGTTATATAGATAAATAAGTTATAGTTATACTTATCTTTACCTTATAATATTTAACTATTAATAATTTAATTAGTTATAATATAAAAAAAAATCTAAAACTAATTAAAATACTCTTCTTTATTAGTTTCTATATTTATAATATAAATATATATATTATATTTAATTTAATTATAACTAGTTATATATTATATTATTAATTATATATTTTAAGTTTTACTTTATAATTACTATAAACTGATATTTTTTTATTTAATTATTAATATCTATTTACTTCTTTAAATCTCTTATATCTTATATAAAAAGTAATTTTATAATTTATAATTTAGTTTTTTTAACTTATTAATATTTACTAATAAACTTAACTAGTTATAGATAGGTCAATTAATAAACCCTTTCGCTATTATTTATGTATCTTATTACGAGCCCCCTAATTAGCGCTAAGACCCTAAGACGCTAAGCCGCTATATGAGTCTGCACTAATTTGAAAAACACCACCACTTAACAGTCAGCGGTTAGACTACCCCCCCGGCAATTAACTTCGTCGCTAAAAGTCTGTAAGCGCCAAGGAACGTCCACACGCCGATAGCCGGTCGTCACCAATGACTACACCGACCGCACATTCCTCCTCCGTCTTAGAGAAGAGTCCATTTTCTTCAAGCAGACTGGAGTCAAGATTCTAGTAATTAGAATAGCCTAGTCTGGCATGATCTCGGTCTGGTCTAGACCGCCAAGACTTTATCTGCTCTGACTGAACCTTTGCACCGCTTAGGCCAAGCCAAGACTATTTATATTAAAGTCAGGTCATTTTCTATACGCTCTAGGGCACGCGTTTAAGCGGAAGTTAGCAAGCATAGTACTTTACGGTGTATATACCAGCACTCGGAAGGAGGGTTCGATCCACGGCCGAGCTGGAGGCACGAAGCATACTGCACGCGCCAAGAACCACACATGCTTGCTACGCTGCATACTAGCGGCGGTGGCGAGGCGCTCCTCCAACACCGCTACATAGTACTGTATATGTACATTGTTCTATGCACTGTAGCATATTGTGGCATTTTGGTGAGATAGTTATTGTGCGTGGCCCGATATGCTGTTAAACGTTTTTCACGCCGAGATATTCATCGCGCACTGTACAACATTAAAAGGCTCGCGTTCTTGGTTGAGTAGGGGCTTGGTGCCTCTCAATAAGTAGCTGACTCGTACACGGTGATGGCCCAAGCTAATTGAGAGCTTCGGCAAAGTTTCCATCCCATGTCATGGTTCGATCGCAGAAGTGTCAAGGTTGGCATTTCGGCAGTTGGCTGCGTCAGTCAATAGAGACCGCAATAGCATACAGACACTGTAGTATTATGGCGCCGTGTGTTGAGGCTGGGTGGGCAAAACTGGACGCTTATTACACGCTGACAGACCGTTATTCTGTGTATGTTGCAGCAATTGTCCTCAGCCCTCATCGAAAATGGCACTGCTTCGACGCTGCGTGGGAGGACCATCCGGAGTGGGTTGAAAGTAGCAAGGCTGCCGTAGAAGCCCTCTGGAAGACTCGCTACGGGCCCGTCACCAAGCCGGCTGAGTCGCAAGCTCATGCGCTGGTGGACAAGCCGCCAGTAAAGAATTCGTTTCTCGCTTGGGAGGACGAGCGGGAGGACCTTGAACTTCCTACCCAATTTGATGAGTACCAAAACTATATATCAGCCCCGAGAATCAAGGTCAAGGATGTACGAAAGTGGTGGCTTGAGGATACGCAGCAAATGCTCTATCCCAACCTTTCCAAAATGGCGCTAGATCTCTTGTCCATTTCAGCAATGTCTGCCGAACCGGAGCGCCTCTTCTCTGACACGAAAATCACCCTCCAAGATCGCAGAAATAGGCTGGGGATTGGCATAATCGAGGCAATTGAGTGCATAAAGTCGTGGTCGCGCTCTCATAAAGTGGCTTGGGTAGATGACGTCGGCCTTACCCTAGATACATCGGTCACGGGAGAAGAGGAAAACAGGGCTTCGCAAGCAAAGTAGATAATACGAAAGCCATGAATAGTATATAAATGTTTAAATACTTGAACTCGAACATTCTTTTTGGCTGTGAAAGCTCTCTGTGGAGTCACTACCGCGGCCACATCAATGGAGGGCCCGTCGAAGAGTAGTACACTAGAAGCGGACGTCACATGAAGGTGATTGTTACTATGCGTCCTGACTAGCAAGCGATGAATATCGTTAGGATTGAGTGGAGTGGCTTTCAACCCTGCTGGGCGTTGGTCGATTTCCACGGATACGCTGTATCCACCCCAGCTGCACAAGAATCCGTAGGTTGCCTATATGTTCTATGTCGACTCTCGTTAATACAGTACTCAGGTGTTGAAACAATGCCCCATTGCCTTAACACTCATTCAATTTAATACACTTACCTATCTTCTTGGTCAACTCGGGCATCCTAAATACTTGCCCGTTGTCCCTATCCCATGGAAAGGCTAAGGGGCGAAGAAACCACAACATTCTCGTTACTAAGTATACCGCTATCATCGCTTGGCTCTTAGGCCTATGCGAGACGCTAAATCTTTTATCACCGATCCTTACATCTAGCCTTTCGGATGATGAACAAATAGTCATTAGTTATATATATTTGGGAAGATAAAACTTCTTCAACTATATAACTACTTCTGTAAGCTAATTGACAGATTCCGCTATTAGTCGGCCGAGCCTAAACTCCCTCTCGGGGAGAACTCCATACAACGACTAAAGCTTACCAACCTACTATAAATAGTTAATGTTTAACCACAACACGACACATAGAACCGCCAAGGTCTATTTTCCTAGCCAGCCAGACCTTTTGTCGCTAACCAGTAGGTCTAGCCAGAGAATATCTGGGTCTAGTTCGTGCAACAGTTAAACATCCATGCCAAAGAAGATTAGAAGCAACGTCCCGGACCAATAACTGGTGTCTGGCACCGAATACAACCACTTGGGCAATCCCTCAATGTGCGGCATGTAACTCCTTGATGCCGTTAGCGAAGCTCTTACTCTATCGTTAGTGTAGTACTTACCAGCAGGGCATTTGCCTGGTTTAACACCCTCGCCGAGTTCATTGTTATCAATCTCGTTGATCGACGAGTCGTCAATCGCAGCAGCGGCAAAGCCGGCTAGGAGAGCGAGAAGTGGCAGAGTGAACTTCATTTTAAATGGTTTAGGGGTAAAAGGTGAAGAGACTAGAGTAGTTGCGAGAAGAGCTAGAGAAGTGTTTGTTGAGAAAAGCTTGCTGAATGAAAAAGCAAATAGCAAGTGCAGACGGTGTCTTTTATACATTTTCTTTTTTGGTTTTACATTTCTAGTTACATTATACAGTGTGTGAGATAGTATACGAGACAGTACATGACCATATTACGCACGTATCTCATCATGGCACGTGCATGATAATTGCACAGCAACACGATAATAACTCTAGCAATGCGATATTTGTTTATAAAGAAATTGCCTTTTTTGTACCCTATGATGTCAGAAACATCAGTTGGTAATATATTGCTTTACACTATTGGACACACTGACATTATATATGTTCTAGAATCTTCTATTCCGAGCGGCATTCACACGAGTCTGATTCAATTCGCGGCGCCCTATTTACGCCAAGATCGGCCCAAACCCTTGTTAGCAGAACCAACCATGGATAAGATCGACAGACCGCGTGATCGGACCCTGTTCGCATAATATTGGGTATCTTATTATGGGGCAACCCCCAGGAAATCAGGTGAATAAGGTTTAAATAGCGTGTGCATTTCAGACGAATTAGTAACCTAGACAGGCACCACTTTTATTTATACTTCTCTCTTAGCTCTTTAACTCCCGCTGACATGAAGGTAGAGGCAGTTTATATTTTCTCACCTTTCGGTTGCTAACGACTCTACTATCAGCAGGTAATATGTGTAAGGCTTACTGGAAATGGCATGCGCGGAGGTTCTCAATTGGTATAGTCTAGTACAACCACATAGGCAAGCACTTGTCTCATTAGACACAGTACCGCTTGGTACGTGATTTGACCAGGCGATCATTTACTGACTTCATATAACGTTAAATACTAACTTAAATTTAAGTCCTCACTCTTTACGTTGACCTTGAGTTCGTTCTGGCCCCTATTCAGCAACTCTATTAGCATTGACACACACTATGCTATATCTCCTGTAATCTACTTAGAGTGCCAGGTCAGGTCTAGTTTTACAGTGAAGACATCAATTATAAAATGACTGCTCGCAAGGCTGTTGTAACAAGTGCCGAAACCTTATTCAGGCCAAGCATAGACAAATACTGGCTACCATGCTTACACTGCCTTTACACCTCGTACGATTATTGAGCAAACACAAAGGCAGCAAAGTAATCCGACCATAATGCCGATAAGTTAATAGTCACTACTCAGAAGTAAAAAGTGCCAAGAATATACTCTTGCCAAGCGTGTTAACGCATAGCTACTATGCGGGTACTGCCGGGTGCCTATATATTAGTCGCCCCACTATACTCAGCCACTATACACTCATTATCTTGAAACAATAAGGTATATGCGGCATTAACCAAGGGCTTGTCAATGTCATCAGACCTCGTACAAACCCAAATCTTTGCTTCTGCACCAAGCTTGCCTCAAGGGAAAAAAACACCCGAGTTACTACACGAGCAGCTGGCTATGCGGCCACGCCAGCGTGACTAGCTATACGGTCACGTTAAAGTAGCTGGCAATACGATCACGCCATGGGAGCTGGCAACGCGGTCATGTCAAGGGAGCTGGCAATACAGTCACATCAAGTTAGCTGGCTGTGTAGTCACCTCCAGATAGGTTCTCCTTAGGTTACTAGTTATTAAGAATCAATGATTTAAAAGTAGCTTACATTCCTCTTAAAGTTTTCCTGAACATTACTCTATTAGCATCCTTCGCTACTCCCTTATTAACAGGTTTCTTTACATTACAACACAGAATATTCTACGCACTAGTTACACAATGCGTTGCACTCATTTGTTGGCAGCATTGATTGCTGCTCATATCACAGCTGCAAAACCACTTGCAAAACTGCCTGGTGAGGACGGTATTAACGATATCGATAATAATATTCCCGACTCCACGGGCCCGCCTAGTGATGGCTCAAATGGCCAGCCTCTTAAGAATCCGCATCAGAACCTTGAGGCTGGAGCGAGTACAGTTCCGTATTCTAACGGGTTAACCCTGGGTCAAGGGTGAGAAAAACATGATATCAGGCAAATACCTTGTATATATGCGTGCTAATTCTTAGTATAGGTACAATACCTACCTGCAGGAGGGCTGTATGAATGGTGCAGTAGACGTAACGGGCTCTACCAACGCACCCGGTCAAGTCACGATTGAGTATCGTGCGATTCAAATTACTGAATATTCGTAAGCTTCTATGAGCCCGAATACATAAACTTATCATACAGTACTCATATCATACTATAGGCAAATTATCAAGGAGCTAGGGATTAGCGCTAGTCTCGGTATCCAGTACCTTGATGATAGTGTAGAAGTCTCCGGCAAAATGCTGGATAAGTCTACTGTAAGTTTTTTTACGGAAGTACGATTCGTACAAGAATGCTTACATTCACTTAGTTCGAGAATAGCGCTCTTACATATATTGTAAGAGCGGACGTCACACGACAGCCGTCTTCTGATCTCAAGTACAAATTCATGTGGAACGAGGCCAAAAATCCCACTGAGCGATACTGTGACCGATTTATTAGCGGCAAGTCTTGACATAACAGCTTTAATTAAAACACATCTGATATTGTTTTAGATTTCGTGGAAGGAGGTGCGCTTTATGCTCAGGTATCTATTCAATCTACCGAGTCATCTCAGAAAAACGAACTTGAGGCACAGTTGGTACAATCTACTCTAGCTTAGGGATCATTGCTGACTTGTAAACTTCTAGGGCCAAGGTAGCTTTTGGCATGTTTGGAGTCGGTGTTAGCGTTAGCACCGAAATGAAGAAGGCCTCTGAGTTTCTTTCGAAGAACTCAAAAGTCACTTCGGAAATGTTTTGGGTCGGCGCGCCTCCTAAAGATGCCAAGTCTGGCGTTCTTGAACAGATGAAATCCTTGCAGTCAGGCGAGGCTAGCCTCCTTGATATTAAGAGCATATCTGATAAGTTCATTGCAGAAGCTGGGGACCATCAGTGGAAGCGATAGTAAGTCCCGAGAATACACCTAGGGGGATTCCAGGTGCTAATTTGGAGTAAAGCGCACTTGTCGAGCGCTATGATCAAGTTTTCAACTTTAAAGATGAGTTCACGCCTCTGGACTACTCTGACGCAATTGAGCAGGTAAATTCTTGATATATCTCGGCCGGAGAAGAAATATCAACATCTAACTTATTCTTGAAGACTTGGGCAGTGTTTGACGACTATGCAACTTACGATAGCATGCAACGAATGCTCAAGACCAGTAAGTACACTCGAGATATAAATCTAAAGCCATTCAAACTAAGATTCTTTAGTCAAATTACCTGAGACTCTCCAGCAAAAGCAGGTAGAGCTACGGAACGCTGTTCTCAAGGCTAAAGATGCAGTCAAGATATGGGTACGTAGCTTGGTACATTTCGTTTTGATTTTTTCTAACTATATATATTAGATCAACAATGTTTCCAAAGACCCAAGTAAGGCTACAGCCAAGCCTTCTTACCAATCTCCGGATGAGTTTCTTGGAAGTGTAATGGTAAGTAACACTAGACGTTAACTATGACGCGGCATGCAAACTCATCGCTTACTAGGACGCCTTTTCTACTACATATATTGTGCAAAACATAGAGTATGACTGGACAAAACCAGAGTACAAAGACCATCCCAAGAATAGCACTCGTACGAAAAATTTCTTTATCTTGATCGTTCGCTTTATAGCTGCTAACTATCATAGTTATCGATGATAAATTGCGCACAGATATCGGCAAGACAACAGCCATGTTCAACATTCGAGGCGTCCCATTCCCTGGCGTTACTGGTACTAGCAAGCTCACATTCGGACACGAAGATGGTGAGCCCTGGTGGGATATAACCACTGATGGAACTTTGCCTGCGAATTTTAAGGAGCAAAGCCATGTGTGGCTTTTAAACAAGAAGACACCAACTTACTCTCAGCCCATCTATGTCTACAAAGTCATTGATAAAGAAAAGGGCTGGTGGAACAGGATTGATGTCAACAAAGCTTTACCATCGAACCCCACGGACATTGGCCTTAATCTTAGGTTCTTCACCAAAGCAGAATAAGACAAATTTGTCTAGGTGCTAGCTTCAAGTACTACAGGCAGCTATGCAGGGTCACCTTTCGTGTTTATACTCGAAGCTTAACCTGCGACCTGTGGAGTGGTTATTACATTCTTTATACCTGTTTATACTAGACACCTTGTATAAATAGAATTTATATATTATCAGGCTTCGAAATCGATCGATTTCGAAGCTTGCCTATTATTACAGCAGAGCTAAATATTCTCTAACAGATCATATATTCATTTTGTGCATGCTCGAGGTCGGCGCCGTACTCCACGAGCAACTGCACCGCCTCCAGGTTGCCCAGTTCGGCAGCCGCGATGAGCGCGGTGCTATCCCGCTGCTTCCACCCGTGCCGGAGCATCAAGCGAATGATCTCGAGCGACGGCTTCTCGCCCGTCATGGCCAGGAGGGCTGGCTCCTGGTCGTCGTAGCCCCACGCCTTATTGGGGCCCTGTCCGTTCTCCAGCACGAAAAGGACAATGTCGACGTTGCCGTGGTATGCCTCTAGGCTTAGCGCGTCGCCGATAAACTCGCTGTGGTGGGCGTTGAGGTCGAAGCCGTTCTGGACCAGCGCCTTCCACACGTTGAGAGAGTGTGTGAAGTAGGCCTGGTGGTAGATGTCGTTGTTTAACGAGTTGGGGGCAACGCGAAAGGCCTCGGTGCCGAAGACCCAGTCGATAATTCCCAACTGCGACTTTTGTATAGCGCGCTTAGTGATGCCCTCAAGCAGAGCCGCTTGCTTGGATTCATCCTCTGCTGAGGCGTAGATTGCCTCGACGCCCTCGACATTGTCGCTGTCAATCTCCGCGACCAACTTCTCTGACAGGCGAACTCTAGCATACCCTATAGGGAAGATGGATTGGTCTGTAGTCGCTTTTGGTATTGAGAGTTAAGAAAAAGACGAGGAATTTGGCTGCTTAGAGTATAAAACTGATGATCTTATCTCTGTAAACGAATATTTGGAAAGGTCACGGTTTAGTCTAGCTGCAGAGTTTATGTAAATAAAAGTACTTGTTGAACACGTCGCGCTGATTTGACAAGAAGAAAAAGGAAAACTGTTGCCCCCTCCGGCCAACTCCTCGTTCAGGTCTCGGCGCCCGCGCTGTAAGTCAGCCTGGCGATCACTCCATGAGAGATAGGCCTAGCTAAGTAGCCTGACAGGCTGCCAGTGTCTCGATGAATAGAAAACGGGCATCACGTACTGTTACGTGATGCAGTTGGCGGATCGACGTCGGGTATCGATCTGCACATGATGACACAGTAGGTGCAGCGGGGCACGCGGGGTTACCATAAAGGCGTGGTTAAGTGGGTATGTGTGTGTAAAGACTCAAGAGGTACGAGGAACGACGAGGCTCCAGCCTGCCTTATGAGTGTGGGTGAGCTAAGACGTTGTTTCGTAGAAACCTACATGCAACAGCATGTGCCGTCTCTTAACATCAGTATAGAGGGACGATCGCTCGTTCATGTAGACGTTACATTCCGTCGGCGGCTGGTATCAACTTAAAACGGGTTTGTGTTTCCCATCTACAGCATCCTTCAGTCGGTTCTCATCTTTTTTTGTCTCATTTCAACACTAAGAGAGCCTGATTTAACTGACTGGCGCAAATGTCCACATCGTCGATCAGTTGCTTAGAACCCTGCAGTAGGAAGCAACTGCACTATTGTCGCTGGGCACTCGTATTGTGTCAAGTTCAAACACGGCAAGTCTCTCCCGACGACCACGACCACGCCGCCGACGGCTACGCCCAGATGCTACTTATAGAATCTACCTCTTGGTAAGGTCTTTGATGGCGCCATCAGCTATTTCATCCGACGTCTTCAGCAGCTCCTGTATAAACATAGTCCCGTGCTCCTTGGCCGTCTTTATAGCCGCCTCGGCTGATGCTCCCTTTTTTACCTCGTGCAGTGCGACAAACCTGACTAAATTGTGCAGCGTCGCATTCACGACCGAGTCAATCTCCCCAGCGACGGTGACATGCAGCTTCTGTGCTTCCTCGCTATCCTTCTTGACCACCTCAGCGGTGCCATCTTTTGCCTTTGTCAGCTCCTCAAGCCCCTGCCAGTACTTGTGCGTCTCGGGATCCTGGCTGCTCTTAAAACCGTTGGGTAGATTGGGCAGTTTGAAATGCGCTACGACGTCTGCACTGGGAAAGTCGGACTCCTTGGCCACTTTTTGAGCTTCGCCGAGCTTCGCCTGGACTTGAGCGTAGCCCTCGTTGCCAGGGTTCATGGCGGCCTCGAGTGCCTCCACCGACTCGACTCCCTCCTTCTTGGTCTCGTCGTAAAATACGCTGTAGCATCTCTTATTCTCCGAGATGGCGGCGTCAAGGCCCTGCACTTTGCTGTGATATTCTTGCAGCCGCTCTGCCTGCTTTTGGATCGTCACTGCTTTTCCGGCAATCCTTGTCAAGCCTTGGAGGATGTCCTGCAGCTGTTTTGTTTCTCGCCTTGCAAGCTGCTGCGGCCGTCCCGCACATCCGGTAGCTTCTTGTCATAGATCCAGGAGCTCCCAGGAAAATCACCTTCTTCAGTTATGGAGCGAGCCTTTCGGAGCAGAGACTGGACTTGAAAGTATGACTTGTCGCAGTCACCATTGCTAAGCGGGTTGTTGAGAGCCTGTTGACCCTTCTTATGGTAGTTGTCATAGCATGTGTGAGCGCTAGATGTCTCCTTCTCGAGGTCGTTAACGGTGTCGCGATATCTCTTGAGTTGGTCCGCCTGCTTGAGGGCCAAGGATGCGATTGTCTTTGCCTTTTCTAGCTCTTCTTCCGGAATTTTTTTAATCTTCATAATGGCCGAAGCTACACGTTTTCATATGGCAACGCGAGGTTCGCGAGCCGTAGTCACGCTGGACTGCTCCGGACCATGGCCTGGAAGCACTGTGTCAAACAAGCCAAGGAGTTGACTGATTGAGGCGGCTGCAAAGAGAGCAGCGACGACAAGAAGATGCATTTTTTTTTGGGAAAAATGAAGGAAACCGGTGTGTGTGTGATGTCAGAATTTCCTAGCAGACAAAAGAAGGCGGGGAGGGGAATAGCAGATGCAAGAGATATTTGGTGGATAGCTCTTCCCGTCAGATGAGGTATATACATATATAGTTGGATATATACACTCAGCAGCCATAAGAGGGCTGCGTGTCAAGTGTCTTCCGGATCAACAGAAGGGCCCATAGCACGAGATTAAGGATGGCGTCTGGTCGGAAGCTTGCTAAGTGAATCTATGCTGCTAAAAGCATAGAGTTGAATGATGTATGAGCTCTCATGCGCGGGAAATGTGCCCATCAAGGATCTCTGGATCCCATGGAAATGGCATAAATGACCTCGTTGCAATGAAATTCAACGCAGCTTCGCATGGATTCGCCTGACAAGGCCATTAGGACTGAGTCTTTGAGTTCAACCCTCGTAGTTGAGCAAACGAGGCATGGAATAGGCCGAGTAGGGTTCAGCATTTCGGGCCGCCCGGCTTTAACCCTAACCAATTTTATGCTCAACTGGAGTGAATCATCGCATCATTGATGCGCCGGTATATGTCGTCGAGTCATGGTGGAGGCGCATATAGTACTTGACTCCGTCATGTATCGTGAGTCATGGAAGCCGACAAATTCCTGCCATGATCTCATCTGCGTTGTGTCAGCAAACCACTTGACGCACCATGTAAGCTGTGTAAGCTGTGTACTTGGTGCTATGCCGTCGTGTCAATAGTATAAGTGGTGGTTCTGTTTAGCACAATGCTCGTCATTTGTTTTAAACATTTCCCTCATATACAAAGACATTTTTTCGTCCCTTGTTCATCGTGATTTTGGCTGTTTCCTTACAGCTCGTCATGTTGCGCATTCGCTGGCCCTGTTTGGCCTTGTGCGCTGCCACTTTCTGGCTCGCCTGCCTTCACGTTGCCGGAGTCGATGCCAAGCCGATTCTAGAAGGTCGTCATCACCCGCGAAAACCAAAATTCGTTTTCCGCGTAGATAGAAGATCCCCCGACGAAATCAGAGCCGCAAGGGGATTTCTAGGCAGGGCCACGGAAAATACAAACCTGCAACGGGACAGCGCGTACAGCATCTATGTGCACAACGACTTTGACTGGCGCAGTGACCCAACCGTCTACGTGTCCACCACGGCCGAGTTTGGCGTGGCGGCGCGATTTGCTCAGCCAGGCGATTACATTTACCTCGTCCGCGCAAGGTCAAACATGGTGAGCGTAAACATTGCCTTGGGGAGGAGGAGTCGCTATCCTTGGCAGGACGAGTGGGTGGCCATGCAGACGCGCGCCCTTGACATCTCCAAGACAGAGGCCGGCAAGCAGCTGTGCGCCGCCTCGGACCAGCCCTGCAGGGACAAGTCGTCGAGTCTTGTCCAGACGCGCTTCCCGCAGCGTGATCCTGGCAAGGTCGAGCGGACGGCGCACGACCTCGAGGCCATATGTGAGCGATCCTTGGGCGGGCCGCCTGCCGAGAGACACGGAGGACCAGACTCGGTTGCCGGGCCCAGCGGTCTTTGCAGGAGCCAGGCTGCCGAGGCGCTGGAGCCCGTTCGGGCCAAGTCCCGAGGTCAGAAGCGCCCGACGCAGGAAGTCGTGTCCGATGTTCAAGGGAGCCGTTTGCGCCGCCTCGCCGCCGTCCAAGAAGGCCAAAGGTGCCAAGGAGCAATGCGAAAACAGCGTCCAAGAATTGCTCAGTGTCTTCAATGACGTCGGAGGTGTCGATATCGGTAACTACTTAAGTAACCCTGACGAGATTGACGAGGACTTGTGCTTTGAACCTGGCACCTTTGAGTACCTTTCGTCCTTTCCGTGGGACCAGGCATTGCCAACAGGCATGCATAAAAACCCCCTTGACTCTTCGAAATTTCCCGTTATGATAGGGGGCTCTCTTTCCAGCTACATCCAAGGTCGTCTGGTGCTAATATCAAGTGTTGCAGCAAGGTCAACGCCGCAGCAGGGCCAGAATTCGTGGCTCCAGTGCGCTCAACAAGTGCAGCAGCGGTTCAGAGTTGCCGAGCAACAGCTGCGGGAGTATATAGATGCCGGTATTGAATCGCTGCAGCGAGACCACCGTGACGTGTATCATCTTTTCGTACAGAGCTTTCCTGGTATCCTCCAACTTCTTGAGGACATGGCCCGTCTGGGCCTTCGCTTTTCCAGCTGCCTGTCAGACAAGCCGGCCAGCGGCCGACGACTGAAGGCTCGAGAAGATCAAGGTATGTGAAGCATCATGACCCATCGATTAATCCCGCCAAAGGCACCGCTCACTAGTCCATGTTTCCAGACGTCTGCGAGAAGGTACTGGCTGCCATAGGCCAGTCGGCCCCCAGTGATTCACAACCTGATAAGACGCCGTCAACAACCCCAGGTTCTCAACCAGGTCAAGACGACTCGCAAGATTCAAAGGGCAACTATGGTCCCTCGGGGGCGGACACGAAGCTTTGGCTTGCCATTGGCATCCCGGCCAGTGCCTTCGCCGCTGGTGGCCTGAGCGTCTTTGCCGCGTCGGCGGAGGGAACAGCGCTACTTGCCTCTGCCGCTGCCGAGCTCGGGATCAGCACTAAAGTCGGATCTGCTTCTGAGGTTGTGACCTCTGTTCTAGGCCGGACCACAAGTTCGCTTACCCAGGTGACTCGCCAAGCCGTGCAGAGGGTCGTTGGACGTGTATCCCGTCTAGGGCACCGAGTGACGAACCCGCTCCTGAGGCAGATTACCAGCCGCGCCTTGCGGTCAGCAACGGAACGGGCTAGCGAGCACATTCCATTACTGTCCTTCTCTGGCTGAAGGAGGGAGGGGTCATGTTTTTGCAAAACTGGCTGGCAATTCTGGAATGGGGCCAAACCATAGCCGTGTCACGACAGGGACCATCCTGTTTGGTCTACAAGCTGGCGCTGCAACACTTGCTTCCTCAAGGCCATAAGCCTGCGTATTGGCGCTGCAGGGCAAAATCTTCAGGAGCTGGGCTTTGGAGGATCTGGGAGCGGGAGGAAAGGGTCTATCAAGTAAAAAAATCAGGGAGCGACAATACGACAAACTATCTAGTCAGTTAGTTATTACCGCCAAAAGCTGCTGTTGCCTGGTCGTTCCCACGTTAGCATGGTACCTTGGAAATAAGCAGCGGAAATTGTGTCTCTCGCCAACAGCTTTAGATTCAGCGTGATGCAGTTTGTAGATATACCGAAGAAGAACCCACAGGGCTGGCCACGGTGGGCCACAGCTGGTCACAGCCCAAAGAGATACCCAAGATGACGGTATTAGTGGGCGCGATAGTGGAGCGCAAGGAAAAGCATTTTTATTATTAGCTCTTATGGCGGCCTTGTGCTAACTAGTTAGCGGGCCTTGGTAGCCCTTCTTGGCAAGAGTTTGATCTCGGATGTATCCGTAACTTACTCGGTTAGATCAAACCAGGTAGGCAGAAGCCCGAGCCGCCCGGCTCGCACGAATGCCGCGGCCTTTTCTGATGATATGCCACCAGGTTACAGGTATGTGAGAGAGAGATGATTGATTGATCTATCAATGGCTGTGCGTCTTCTGGTTGTGGTTACGGGGGATCGTTCTTCCGGTCCGGTACGGTCAACATTTTCAGCTGGAGCGAAACACTGTTTCCAGTCATCCGGGTCCGCCGGGTACAGAAGACTAAACACGGAAGCAGGCTGCATGTAAGACCTATGCTTGATCGCAGATGAGATGCAAGAGGCAGTTGCTGGACAAGAAGTAGCCGGACCCGAGATCGTAAGATGGCAGTGGCGCTTTATAAGGCCGCATCTGTGCCTCGGCACGAAAAGTGCGACACGCCAGGTGCGTACTTGGCGCGGTAGCTTGAGTGTTCGCGAATGATGCCTATTATTAAGAGCATTGTTTTCTCAGTACCAGCAGGGCCCTTGATCCACCCCAATCGACGCGACGGCTGGCTAAGTACGCCATGGTCCCAGTCCGTGAGAGCCGCATATTCTATTGTGTCGACAATTCACCTTTCGACTTCGTGCAGTAGCTCGCACTTCTTTCTTTTGGCTTTCTTCATGTCGTATTTAGGGTCTAGCACAAAGAGGCCACGAAGGTACTTCTCGTCGACATCTCTCCGCGTGTCTTTCTGTAAGGCGATCAAGTCTCATGTCTCGTGACGAATGGCTTGAAAACCCGACTCTATCCCCTCGGCGCGCTTAGTTAGTTTTTCCTGGCTGTCGTTCGCGTGACACTGGTCGCACCGATCCTGCGGAACGGCATCCTCCGCATCTGTCACGATCTTTAGGTAGGCGTCCCGGTCGTCCTAATTTGACAGGTCGCGAACAAGGCTGAGGCCCTGTTGTCGGTAATAGGAGCAGACGTTTCTCGTCCGAGATAGAAGGAGGGCATTATAGAGCGCGAGGATCCTCTCTTTTAGCTGACGCAGGATGGATTCAAAAATCTCGTCGGCGTACGTGACCTTTGTTCAGAAGTTGTTCATCAAGGTCACAATACCAGCCCATTCGAGAGACGAGGTGCGCGATATCAGCTAGTTGAGAACTCTACACTTTCGTAGGATTCAACGGAATCTGGATGAAGATCAGTGAATATAGGCCAATCGAATGTAAGGGCGCTGCTCACCAGCAACCTGACGCAGACACTGACCCACGGAAGCGCAGCCTGCGGGAAGTTTTCGATGGCGACATCTACCATTTCCTTCATCGAAAGAATAAAATTGACGAGATCGCCCACCCCCTTCGTGATATTGACGACGTGGGTATCTTCGCCCGGCCGGCCATCACCAGCTCCTTCGACTGTCGCTTGGTCGGGTCGTTCAGGTCAGCTAAACGTGAGCGTCAGAGCCGATGTCACGGTTTCGGTACCCAGAATTTTCACCAAGGTCTTGAAACACGACCCGATAAGACCTCCTGTACCTTCCTCTGCTTTGAGACTGTCATAAGCAGCGTTCCGCAGTCTCTGGGATTTGGTAAAAGCTTGGCTCCGCCGCTCTGTCAATTTAGGCGGGGAGAACCATCTTCTCGTTCCACAGGTCGTTCTCTTGTCTGTGCAGTGTCAATATCAGGCGATTTCGCTGGCTTTTCGAGCGATGAGACATCTAGAGGGTCTGCCTCGTTGCGCCCCTCTTTGTAGGTCGCATTGCCCCAGCGGTCGGGCCGAGAGGGAGGGGTTGAATGGCGGCTTTGTTATGGTGGACCTTGCTTTCGCGCGTTGCTCTTCTCGCCTTTGGAGCGGCTATACGCTACGAGGCTCCGACCGACGTACTCCAAGTTTAGCTAGGCCGAGCCGACTATAGGACTCCTCAAGTCTAGAGATAACATGTTTCAAGGTAAAAGGCCCCGCTATATGGTTATAATATGCTAAGATCAGGCCATAATTGATCCTAGCTAATAAAAAAACTCTCTGGCATATAGAATTAATAAGTTATATTATAAGATTTATAGTATCAGCCCTAAATCCGGGAAATAGGCACTAGGCATGTCTTTGAGATTCTTGCCGAGCAAGTGACGACTTATCAGGCATGATATCATAGAAATCAACTCTTAGAGTAGCATATAATCTTCTTCAAAGGCCAGTTTCTACTAAAATTACCTGTTAGCAATTAGCAACGTGAGTCGACAATCTCTTTAGTAGAAAGAGCAAGAATTTGCTAGTAAAAAGCCCCCTACCTATAAGCCCCCATTAGCAAGCTTGCCAGGTCCTACTATAAGGTATAAAGAAAAAAGTCTATATCACCGATCCGTAAGGAGATACAGTAGATTCACAGGCAAGGCTCCTCGGCAATTCATACGCTAATTGGAATACGAAGGAGATTCTGGGTAATGCTCATGAGTCGTTTGCACTCTTAGCTTATTTCTTACGAAGCTAACCTAACCTTTCAAGCGTGATATATTCTATATAAATACAGCAAGGTCTTTCTCCAAGTTATGACACGACTTTTGCTATTCAACATACTCATCCTTATAAGCCTATCTTTACGAACCTATTTACTATAAACTCCCCTTACCATGGTGCTGATTACTGCGCTAGCCGCCACGTTTTCTGCTACTTTGGCAGCAGCAGCAACTATTGATAAAAGGATAGTAGGCGGAGAAGTTGTCCCGGAGGGTGAAATCAAATGGATTGTCAGTCTTCGCGATGAGAACGGGACTCATGTTTGCGGAGGCAGTCTGCTAGACAGCACAACGGTTCTCACAGCTGCCCATTGCATTGAGAGCAAAGAAACTAAAATCGTTTCTGTGACGGCTGGAACAGTGGTAAATATGCTACCCACTCTTTGGTCTAGTACTGAAGTGCATCTGGTGGAATACGAAGCGGCACAAGGCTAATAATCACGACAGTCCATCAAGAC